ATCTCTTTGCATTTTCTTTCGTATATACCATGGAGAGTGCTCTGAGGAATTGTTCGGATTAATCCCAGCCACCAAATTTCATGAACGCACTACGCGGAAAACGTCCCGATACCTTCTACAGCATCTGGATGCTTGGCGGTCCACCACTGTACGTTTCGAAAGGAGTTTTCTTCCGCGTACAACCTCCCTGTTGAATAGTTTACCACCGACGATTTTTCCGGACCGATACGACCTGGGGACCTTCAAGAAGAGACCTTACTCCTTTCTAAAAGGCCGGCAACGCACCTGCAATTCCCCTGGTGTTGCGGTTGATCATGGGCCGGTAGTCACTTAACATCAGGTGAGCCGAATGCTCGTTTGCCCCCTCTTCTATAAAAAAAAATAAAAATCATACCTTAAAAACATTATTTGCTACAGGTTATGTTAAATTTTAAACATTTACTTACTAACATTATAAACAATATAAACTAAACTAAAAGCAGATAAATAAACCTTCGTAGTAATACAGTAGTAAATGACAAAAATGTTTAATCTTTGACGTATTTTAACTTATAATCAGAAAATAATTTTATTTTATCATAACCGGTGTATAGAAACCAACACTACTTATCACTTCTTAGCACGGGTAGATCTCTTCGCTCTCAAATGTTGCTACGAGGGAGCTGTGGCTACAGGGGGAGTTAACTTACATTTCGGGCTTTTCTCAGCAGAGGCAGATTGCTTATTCGCAGTGTTAGCGAAGATAGAAAGGTCCTCCTCACAGCCAATACGATGACGCGTTGAGTCCTGTGCCTTAATAAAAATATTGTCATGCGGTCCAGCAGTTACGTAAGTTCAGACGTTTGCGAGCGAGTAGGAAGAAAGACTATCGTTAGCATGTTAAGAGTTCGGATACAACAAGAAGTGTGCGCTTAAAACACACCTCATTTAGGCCCGATTAGGCAATCATTATAAATTCCCTATCTTCTTTCATGGATTGTAATCGTCTTTGTCGACCTGTAACAGTCTACTGCTGGACATGGATTGGATAAAGTTAGTATACCTTGACATTGGCCTCACCCATTGTGAGAAAAAATTGCCTTTATTAGTAGGTAGGTAGGTGGGTAGTACTTTTACCTTTTACCTTTGATAATGCTTTTCATCTGTGTTTTATTTGGGTATTTCACATATTGTTTATTCGAGGTGGTATTGATATCGCCATAAGAGACCATGAGGTTTGTCTGTCATAACCAAATTCGCCTCTAACGACACTTACGGGACACAATTAGGTAATGGATTTGTAATATAAGGACATTATATTATATTAACCCCATGACGCCTCACAGTAATTAATTATTTATTAAAAAGAGAAACCTTTTAATATGTCTGTGGGTCTTAAGCAAATTGATTGCCATAGATACAAAATGTGCGAGTACATAGAGGTATATTGTAAAAAAGTTTTAGCAAAAAGACCCTTTACACTATAAACAACCTATTCCATCTTAGTCGTCAGGGGTGACAACGCAACCGTATTGTGACGTTTGATCGAGGAAAGATGTAGATGTCTGTGGGCCTAAGCATTCACTAACTAGCAGGTGGACTGTGAGTTCGTTTGTTACCCCTTATTCTATAAAAAAATTATCAAGATATAACTTAAATGTATTAATGAATGACGAATAAGTATTTGAGTTAATAAGTAATATTTTGAAAGTCACTTTTCAGAAAACATTTCTTATGATGTATATTAGGTAAACTCTCATTCATTTCATTTTTATATTAAAGAGTTCTTTGAAAACTCAAAACACCCATAAAAGCTAAATATAGTTTGAAAGCAACGAAAGGCTTTATTAAATTCACGAGCCTCATTACGCCCGCACGTGCTCGTGATACGTACAGTCAATTGATCTAATGGAAAGCTTAGGGGCTTTTATTTGGTTAAAAAGGACGTTTGGTTAAATAAGATATTAAAAAGTTAATCTCCAGAAAGTCACATTTATATGAGAGTCCGCAATTTTGGTCTGAGCAAAAAATGTCATCATAATTCCAATAATAGTAAAGATCTAAGTTAAATAGTAAAAAATAAATTTTTACTACGTTTTAATCTAGTAATACTTATTAGATCCTTACTTGGATCGTACTGATTGGATTGTTGGATCATTGTGCTTCCCGACTCTGTCGTTTATTTCTGCTACATAGATTTGCTTTGTCACGCAATTTTTCGTTCATTCTTTCTAAATGACTAAGCCACCAGAGCATTTCTTTCTTAATCCTGGTCATAACGTCATCTTGCAAACAACACTTTCTTAATTTCTCACCCTGTCGTTTAGATTCAGACCTAATATACTTCTTAATAATCGCACTTCTACAGCATTTATTCTAATCTCGTGCTCTTTATGCTATACCCAACTTTCACTACCATACATTAAGGTAGAGACTAACACAGAATTGTGTTTTTGTGGCTATTTTAATACATTCGGACTTCTCACAATAAAGCCCCATTTATTCTATTTCCTGCGTTCACTTGTTATTCTATATCTTTATCATATCTACCATCCCTGATAAAAACAATCACAATTACACAATTTCAACGACCTCCTCAACCAACACCTCTTCTATAAAAAATGTGGTTTTTAAAGACGTGTTTTTTTGCGAATTATGGCGGTGAACCCATCGGTTTGATTTCCCGCAAATGTCTGTGAAGCACTGCAGTAACGGAGTAGTCCTAGCAATATTCTTAACATATTATTATAATGGACGTGTAGTACATCAAGCGACCTTTTAGTGTTAGTTTTCCCGAGTAAAAACTCTAACACTATGCCTCTAAGGTTGTCGGTTAGATAATGTCCCAGATATTTAGAGCTTGTCACTCTATTAATGTTCAAGCCATTGTGGGTGAAGCTGGGTATATTACCTGGACATTTACTAAGTAGACAAGACAGTCAACAAGACTGCGTCATTACTCAAACGATGCGGTAAGTAACGATGATCTGAATTTCCAAATATTTAAATTTTATAAGCTAGTTATTGCACATAACTTTGTAAAGCGACACTTTATTTATAAATAATAGTGTAACGTGCTTTTCTTAAATACTCTGACAAAAGCATTCAAGAGAATACCAGCTTTTATGATTTCGTCTTAAACAAGAGGCTCGAACAATTTCTAGAAAAAACCATGAAGCTAAAGTTAAATGAAGCTGGTACTCAAGTGTTTGTAAAGCTTTTTTTTTGTAGTGTTCACAATAGGTACCTTACTAAATTCAATCTCGTAAAAAAACTGTTATTCACATTTGAACTAACATACACACGCATCGGCAAACAATTTTACATATAGTTGGCCAATATTAGGCATTTTAATTTTGATTTGATTTTTTTGGTTATGTTTTTTGAATTGAAGCTATTTCTATAAATTTGAATATTGATTTTGATTACACACTTAACGAGTACCACAGGGTTTATTGTATATTAGTCCTTACTTTACTAGTCCTCAGAGGTGAGAACGCAATAGACTGCAATAGACACTTACCACCAGATGTACTGTGAGTACGTGTATTACTTCAGTTTAATAAAAAAAAAGTAGAAAATAAGTATATTAAATAAATTAGTCCATGAAATTGATCTCAAGTTTTTGTACTTTTTTCTACTGAATCAAGTAACGTAATGAAAACGTCAGACGAGGTTGCTTAATTGAAACGCAGCGCGAGCAGATTTCATGTTTTCATTGCACACAGACTGAATTCGTTTTGGCATTTATATTGCGACATGTATACGCGAACACTCGGTGACATGAAAATTACATTTTTATAATATGACGTCGCAAACGAACATAAAATGAAAACATAGTGATGCATTCTTTATTTCCTCTTTCACACTTTAGGCTAAAAATACTCATGTTGAACGTCCTGCCTTGCAATGTCCAAAAATTACAATTAAGCATTTCTTTGATTATTTATAATACGAAATATTTTCAGCGGATAATTGATAGAATCAGGCGTTACTTTGCGGAAATCCATTATAATAAATAATTTATTACTTTGCAACCTTCCGCTAATTACAATGATGTGTCTTACCTGGATTGATGAGCACCTCCCCCCCCCCCCCTCAATTGCATGCACGTACTAATTCCGTCACTTGGTGACGGAGTTAGTGCGTGCAATTGAGGGAGGGCGGGAAGTGCTCTTCAATCCAGGTAACACAGAAGTTAGCGGAAGGTTGCAAAGTAATAAATGATTTATTATTTTCAGCGGAGTCAATTGCACGCACTAACTCCGTCACCAAGTGACGGAATTAGTGCGTGCATGCAATTGATAGAGGGCGGGAGGTGCTCTTCAATCCAGGTAAGACACATCATTGTAATTAGTTAGCGGAAGGTCGCAAAGTAATAAATTATTTATTATTTTCAGCGGAGTCACGCTGTAAGACACAATGGATCGGATATTCTTTTTACTGAAAACGAGGTATTTAAAAGTTCACTGCTGAACGTGTCTACGTTCCCATAAATACTCTCATAGTAAGGACATTTGTCACAGACGCCTCGCTTGGCAGTCGGCATGGCAACCGCAGTTTTTTATTTTTAAATGTTGCAAGAAAGACGCTGCGGACCATGTTCTGGTTTGTTCCCTATGTATCCTCTGACGACACTCACGGGACGATAAACGTCTTTATAAGTAAAAGAAATAAAATAAGGGAAATGAATTTACAGGACAATTGCATGCCCTAAGCGCAAAGCGCGTAGGTTTGTTCTATTAGCATGTTATGGCAGTATAGCGGACTTTGCTCCATGTACGCCACGCTCTGCTCGTGCACTGCGTTAACGAAGTGGAAACACGCGATCTGACTGAACGCGGTATACACCGTATCAGTGCCGTCGACAAGGATGTCAAACGACTTAAGGAGCGGTTCCTGCGCGGTTGCGGGTCGCTGCAATTATTGGGCGAGGACATCCACGTGCTGTGCGGCTGCATCAAGGACTTCCTGCGGTCTCAGCGCGAGCCGCTGGTGTCAGGGCGCTGTAGGCCGAAATCATGGCGGCAGCGCGGTTGCCCGACGTGGGCGATGCCACAGCCGTCGTGGTGCAGCCCGTCAGCCAGCAACCGCAGCCGTACTCGTACTGCACCTGCAAAAGGTTGCTGAGAGTCCGGAATGCGAGATGGGGTAAAAAAAACCTTTCAAAAATGTTCGGCCCAACCATCGTGGGCTACGGGATGATGACGCAGGCAGCTGAAATGTACAGTGCCACTGCAAAAATGTGTAATGTGACGCAGCTGCTGCTGCGGCTGCCAGGCGGATGCTCGGCGCAGTTTCCTCGCCCACGCTGGTGCCGCCCAGCAAGCCCAGGGGGTTCTTCTTCGCGCCAGCTGACACTGTAATCTCGAGGAAAAAAAGGAACTACTTTCAGTGACATTATAGAATGTGATATAACAAGACATACATGAATATATTAAGTAACGAAATTTATTACCTTTATCATAAGTTTCATTTTTTTTTGCAGAGAAGAGCACTTTTGTTTAACCATTTATATTTTTTTAGGTTAATATTTTGTTAAGATAATGAAAGCCTATTTAAACTTTTTTTTGAGTGTTAAACTATAAAAAAGGTGGAAGAAAATGAGTAATCTAGCTTTAGCTCTACTGTAAAGGTTAAAATTTAAAAAAAACATTTGGTTTTTCTAACCAGTTTCCAGCTACAAATACAAAATTTTATCTCTTTAGGACTGTTTACTAGAAAGCAATTAGCGTCTAAAAATCAATAATCCAACGTTTTGTCGCATGAAATCGTATCTAAACATCACAACCTGTTATTATTTTCGCACTCTATATCTATACCCCTTAGACTGGAACACAGCATCAAAAATGCACTTGTGTGTTGGCACATGCCCCGGCAAACTCCCAAGCACAAAAGGAGTTCAACAACTACTAAAGAGTACATGATTGATAATAACCTCTGGAAATGAGCTAGTCGCTACCACGCTGTTTCGAACAGTTTTTATACTAATAGTACTGAATTTTTTTTTAAATGTCCCGCTAGGTTTATCGCTGGTTATTCCCAGGACTGAGTTTTTTGCCGAACCAGTGGTAAAGCTGAAATGACTTAATTAATTCAATTATATTCTGTTCTATTCCCCCCTGTTAAACGACTATATATAAAACAATATTTACTGACAGAAAAAAACACTGTTAAAATAAAAGTAAATACTGAGGGCTCAGACTAATTGAAATTTCAAAGATTAGAAGCTATTCATGCAGCTGCTTGTAACGTCTGAATTGAAACACTCTCAACCGGACACTAATCGATATGAAGTTTATTGCGAACGTGAAACCTGAAATCGTTTTCAGGACAATTCATTTATTCATAGTGTAATATCCTTATAAATTTTACAAAATAATATATTTTACGTCTATGTTTACTAATATTAGGTAGAAGAAATTGTGTGATTAGAGAAAATTGTGTTTGCAAGATGATGATTAGAATTAATAGAAGAATGCTTCGGTTTTGTCATATAGAAGGACGAAGAAGGAGTGACAAAGTAAATTTATGTTGCAGAAGTGAACGGCAGAGTCGGCAAGGGATGTCCTAGACCGATGTTTATCGACAAAATTGGCGAAATAAATGGATGTAAAGGTCACCTGCGAAGTTGGCGGTGTGCAGGTCGAACAGCGTAAGCTCAAAATATGAATATGAATTTATGTTAATGATATTCCGCAGAATTTTGGTCTCCAATGCTGTAATACATTTACGTGTGTTCTCCGAATGGACGAATAGGTAACAAAAAAGAAATTTTAAAGCTTAGTTACATCCCAATACTTCCTACCAACTACTAGCATCCTGTCATCTCACACGTCTCTCTTTCCTACACCCTGATTGTGGTATCAATCTTTTATGTGATTGTAGGAGGAATTGAAACGCTCTTTTAACTCAATAATACAATTTTTTTGTTTGATTTTTTTTTGTTAATTTATTTATTATTAATTGCCAATCATCAAAGATAATATAAATGATAATAATAACTTTATGGCAGCGTGAAATATCATGAATAAATTTTGGTAAAATATACATTATAGAAACATATCTACCTGACAACCTGGCATTCAAAAGTTACATACAAAAAATATTAAACTATTGATACACGAAAACATAGATGGTATTATATCTATCAAACGAACTACTTAGTGAAGTTAGATCAGTATTATGTGAGTTGCTCTTTTCAAAGATATAATTATAATAATAATACTATAATAATAATAATACAATATTTGATGACTCCAAACTTGAATAGCTAAGACGTGAGGCTGTTCCCTAGTGGGATGAAAATACTACGACAGGAAATGCGGCTCTACGAGTTGCAGAGCAACCTAAACACGCAGACGCCGCTGTAGATCTCTTTGTGGTTGACTCAGAGGACGATGGAATAGTAACCCACGAACAAGAGCAAATGAGGAGCAAATTGAAGAGGCCATTTTAGAAACGCGCAGTACGCCTCTCGAGAATCGACTCTCGCGAGGAATGTCGTGAGGGCCCTAATCCTAATGTTGTTGACCTAACAGTAAGCCAGGCGGAACCTTTGCGAGATGGATTCAATTATTTTTGGTGCCGCACTGGCAGTATGACGTATTATTGTTGCCAAGCTCCCCACGGCTGGACATGCTACTACTACACAAAGTAGCGCTATCTCAGCCTGGAGAAAAAGAATTAAAGAGTGTATCGCAAAGGTAAGGTCCCCCATCGGTGGACTTACAAGCTTCAGATCGGGCAATAACAGGCCAAAACTTTTGGGCATCATCAAAATGGCGTTAAATATCATTTTGTCCCAGCCGGATATTGCGCAAAAATTGACGGAGCGCATAGATGACCTGAAGCAGAGAAGAAGCTGATTTGGTGGTACGCCGAGAGGTCGACATGGATCAACCAAAATCATCTTTTTCATTGATCAAAAGAGACTTTATAAATCATTGGAGCGACCAATAGAACGAGGAACGGGTCAAGCACCGAATCAGGCCGACACTATCGCATTCTGCAGCCACCTGTGGTCAGAGTCCGTAAACCAAAGCGAGGAACGGAAGTTGTGATGAGTTAGTGTGCGAATATTACGCCCATGAACCCCATCATCAGAACGATCATAGCTATCTTATATAAAACGGGAAACAATATCATAAAATATATATTATTTCACCCGCCCCCTCCCCATCTTATTATAACATAATAAGAAGGGGAGGAGGGTGCGTTATAATATCAAAACCGAGCGCCGCCGTATACTGATTGTTTTTTAGTTGTGTAAAGTTTTCATTTACTAAGTTATATACCGCATTTGCAGAGGATTTTCCTTTTCAAAATCCATATTGATTGTGTTTGCGTATACTGCAGTGCCTTCACATAATATAAACACGCATAACTTGCAATCATAGGGATAGGCAGAGACTACGGACTTCCATTTGGTATGATGCTAAAACACCTCTCTCGCTTATTTTACATCCATAAGCATAAGGATAAGGGTATTCATAATCAGGCTCATTTTTAATATATCAACAATTTGGTCGATAAACTTTTCGTTCTTTCCCGACACGTTCAATCCACAACATAGATTTGCTTTGTCACCCTTTCCTCGTTTATTCTTTCTACATGACCAAACCACAGAAATATTCCTTTTTTAATCCCGATCACAACGTCTTTCATCATTTCTTACCTTGTCATTCTGATTAAATCCTGGTCTTTCGGACAGTAAAAAAAACTAAATACTTTTACTTCATCTTTTAAAAACTGCCAAATATTTTTCAAACGTAGCAATTATGGCAAATACTCTCTTAAGACGTTATCTATCGGGGATGAGTGTGTTCAGCAGTAGTTAACTTTATATAGTTCTATTAACTTTATATTTAAAGACAAACAAATAGGATTATTGTGTCTGTAAGACATTTAACTTATATTATTTTCATTATTTAACAGTTAAATGATTCCCGACAAATTCCCGTATAATATTTATAAGAATATAACCCTGTAAATTGTACAAACGAGAGGCACATTGCTGTACTAACATTTCCGCAGCCAATGCGGTGCCAAACCTAATAGTTTCATTATTAATAGTAAGATATATGAATAATTCCCTTAAACCAACTTGTGTTACACAAAAATATTAACTTTAGCTAATACTAAAAAATAGGATAAGAATTCAGCAAATAGGTATGCTGTCTTATAAAATGTTATGCATAATATGTTACAAGAAATTGTGTCAAGAATTAATGCGGGAATTAAATTTCAAGTAAGAAGATTCAATCTTGTTTTTTATTCAAGTGCTGTTTCTTAATACAAAATTACTATTCTAAATGTATATAGGATTAACAGTAACGAAGTAAATAATGCTATAGCTAAGTTAGTCAACTGGTTTAATGTTAATAATTTGCATTTAAATGGAACTAAATCCAAATGTAAGAAATTCGTAAATTTGAATGTTCAACATGTTAATACTAATGTAATTTTAAATGACGAGGAGCTGAGTCTTGTTGATACCACCATTTTTCTTGGAATCACACTGGACGCAAAGCTTCAATGGGCCCCCCATATATCAAAACTAGCTAGCAGATTTCGTTTTGCAGGATATGCTGTAAAAAAGATAAAAACTCTTACCAGTGTTGAAACAACTAGACTAGTTTACTTTAGCTATTTCCATAGCATAACGCCATATGGTATTGTGCTATGGGGACACGCGATTGTTACAAAAATTATATTTATTTTACAGAAGAGAGCCATTAGAGCAATATATGATTTAAAACCAAAAGAGTCACTCAGACAAAAAATTAAGGAAATATATTAACTCTTGTCTTTCAATACATTTATGAAAATATAATGTACGTAGACAAAAATAAAAAAAGAAAGATATTTTTGAAAAAATAAGTGATATTAATTCTGTAAATACTAGGAACAGAAACAAGCTAGTAGTACCAGTTACTCGACTCCACCGAGTCAGTAATTCATTCTTGGGGCGATGTATACATTTTTGCAACAAAATCCCAGAAAATATAAACATGTTGACATACAGAAAGTTCAAAAGCTTTATTAAACTAAGTTTGTATAAAAAGGGTTGTTATATTATGAAGGAATGTATAGATGATAATAACTGCTGGGAAGGGTGATCGCTACCAAGCTATTTCTAATTTATTTTGTGTTGTTAATTGCATATACATGATTGTAAGCTCAAAGCTCTTAAACAAAAATAGTCCCGCTGGGTTTCTTGCCGGTTCTTCCCAGGACAGAGGTTTTTTGCGAACCATTAGTAACGAAAAAAAATGACTTTCAATAAGTATTACTTGTGATCCATAGCGTAATGAGCCGTGGTAGCTCAGTGGTTAACGCTCGCTGTAAATATAACAGAACGCGA